AATTAAAAACTTTGAGGGCTTCTGACACCCTTTTTGCAGCGACCTAGACGTCTGACGATTTACATAAGTTATCAGTGACCTTCAAACAGATAATGTGCGAAATTTCGATAAATTTTGACCTTTGAGAAAACAGTTTAGATGCTTCCTAAAATTACAACTTTGCGCGGGTCCCAGCGCCAGCTGTCCCGGAACTGTGAGTGCTGACTGTACACTAGCTTTCCATCACTAAAATACAACCTATTTTGAAAATATCAGCCTTCCGAAAACTCTTGCAGGTTTTCGACGCCGCCTCTTGGATTATAATAGAGAGATATCGGTGAACCAGGTAGCGCGTATGGACGGTAATAACGTCAGGAGTTATTTTTTTAAAGTAAAGCGGTATCAAACTTTCAAATTGGAATTATCGGAAAACAGTTTAACGTAAAATTTGCCTGTTCGCATCCGTTATATAACCGCAGCCTAACTTGTACCTTGTTGTGATTTGATTTGTGTTGTCTGTTGTTTATGGTCAGAGACAGAGAATTTGCTTTTTTACTATTTTTTGAATAACCATATTCACTTGAACACAACAATAATAATAAAATAAACTAATAAACAATAAACATAACATAACCTATATTCCACGGCGTTATTTTTAGGCGTTATTCGAAATAGCGCTTAACGTAAATGCTGGGTAAATTACGTTATCCGGTAACGTTATTTTAGTACGTAGTGTTAAAAATCGAATCGCGCATAGGTTTAATGTCAAAATAACGTAGGCGCTACTGCATGACACTATTTGGATTACCGATATCTCTCTATTTTTTTTCCTTTATGGGTAAAGTTCATGTTTAAAGTTTATGTGTAGTATTTTGAAATAGAAAAAAATCTGGCAACATTGCGAAATGATGGATGTGGTGAGGCGTGATTATTCAGAGGCATGATTCTATTGGTTAGAGTCTGAACGACAGCACGCAGTGGCGTGGTTATTGGAGAAACTAGAGAATTTTCTCTCTAATAATTTTATTGGCTTATTTCCTTGGTATTTTCGGTGCCATTGAACGTCTATGCATTGAACCGAAAGACATGGCTGTCATCAGGCGGTGTCAGTTGACGTGTCAGTGAATATTATTATGTTACGCCCCACTTTTCTTTCCCCTTTCGTCTCCACTTGCCAAACCATACTTTAATTAGGTTCTATATTATTTTGTATGTCTGATGATGCTCGTATGAGCGTAACTTATGTCACTATTAAGTGAATAAAATCATCAATCATCTCTGTAGACGCGGTAAATTTTTTTGTTCAAAAAACAGATCTCTTTGTTCTCAAAGAGATCTGACCATATTTCTATATGGAGAAATTATTTGATTTTCTACATAGATCAAATCAAATCAAAATTGCTTTATTGTAGGAAGACAGTCTCATTTACAAAGCTGTGGAAAATAAACTACATAATCATAATATCCATAAGATCCAATTTCCTAATAGATTACATATCTTGATGACAAACTAGTAATAAAATTCTAATCACTAAACAATGTAAGATAAAAACAAAAATAAAAATAAAAATAAAAATAAAAATAAAAATAAAAATAAAAATAAAAATAAAAATAAAAATAAAAATAAAAATAAAAATAAAAATAAAAATTAAAATTAAAATTAAAATTAAAATTAAAATTAAAATTAAAATTTAAATTTAAATTGAAATTAAAATTAAAATTAAAATTAAAATTAAAATTAAAATTAAAATTAAAATTAAAATAAAAATAAAAAAATAAAAATATCAATATCTACCTATAAATGAATGGTGAGATGATTCTTGGGATGCAGTCTTGGCATAAATAAAACTAGTTATTCACAAACGCCGAGCTTTCGGAAATTTTATTGTCTCCTTTATCAAGGCTAAAAGTATAAAGCGAAATAAAATATAAAATATCTATAAAAACTTACGTGTAAAATTAGTTAATTTATTATAAAGTATGTTTTTTTTTAAAGATAATTCCCCAAGTCAAAAATTTAGTAACTATGTTGGCACCACAAGCCTTTTCTACATAAAAAATTTGAAAAATTGACAATTTTACATTGTATTGCCAACATAATGTCATTTTGACTTTTATCTTTAAAAAAAAAAAACAGATTTTAGAATTAGCCATTGTTGAAAATCTATTGGAAATTTAGTCTTTTCTTTGAACCTCTTGCTTTATCTTGAAATTTTGCTTCTAATAATTTTGAAAAGTGAATTGAAATTTGTCAAGAAATAAGAAATTTTGGAAATAGAACAAAATTACAATAAAAGATTATTTTTAGAAATGGTTAACATACAATAATGATAAAAATTGTATTAACAAAAAGAAAGACATAGAAGATCTGAATATTATTTATTCCTTACTTCTAAATTCTGTATCTCAATGAGGAATTATATTAATTATTAGAATTACAAAAAAATTTTGTAATTGAATCTTCTCTCCAAAACTGTATAAAATAATAACTGAACATTGTAAAATTACCTTTTTCTCCGAATGACAGTAAAAGCGGCCTTTTAATGACACTTGACAGGATCAAAAGTTGTATTTTTACTGCCTAGGCAGTAAAAGTGGACTTTTACCGCCTAGGCATTAAAAGTGACAGTGTCACAACGTTCCAGGTAAGAATTTCACTCAATTTGCTATTTGAAATTGATGGTGACAATGACAATTGTCAAAATAATTTAATTATTTGGATAATAATAATGAATGAAATAAATATAAAAAAGATGCCTATGTGTGAATTTGAACATTCGGAGAAAAAAGTATATGTTTTACATGGCAGAAAAGCAGATTTAATGCCTTGGCTCGTTTCCTAACCTCGGCTATGCCTGGGCTATAAATCACCAGCCGCGGCATTAAATCTTGTACTTTTCTGCCTAGTAAAACAAATAACTATTGTTGAAAACCAGTTTTATTTCTTGACAAATTTCAATTCAATTTTCAAAATTATTAGAAGCAAAATTTCAAGATAAACAAGAGGTTCAAAGAAAAGACTAAATTTCCAATAGATTTTCAACAATGGCTAATTCTATAATAAATTAACTAATTTTTTCTCCAAACGTCAAAAAAATGTCACTTTGTCAGCACCTGTCAAGATGTTAGAAATTTAATTTCTTTGCTGGTAGGCAATTCCAGCGGGTTAACACCTGTCGAGGTGGTAAAAACTTAATTTCTATGCTGCTAGGCAACCGCAGCGGCAGTAGAAGTACTTTTAGTGCCGCTGGAGCGGCAGCAAAAGTACTTTTAGTGCCGCTCGTACTTTTACTGCCGCTCAACCATTCAGTTACCCCCGAGCTTACCCCATTCGTTTGGAGAAAAAATAGCGTGTTGCATACGGAGTAGAAGCACTTTTTTGTGCTTCAGCAGTATTGCAAGCCTCACTACGTTCGGCTCGCAAACCTACTGCTTCAGCACAAAAAAGTAAAGCTTCTACTCCTAATACAACAATATACTATTACACGTAAGTTTTTATAGATATTTTATATTTTCAACAATTTTATTTCGCTTTATACTTTTAGCCTTGATAAAGGAGACAATAAAATTTCCGAAAGCTCGGCGTTTGTGAATAACTAGTTTTATTTATGCCAAGACTGCATCCCAAGAATCATCTCACCTATTAAACAAGCCAGTCAAGAATTTTTACATCTATAAATGAATGAATATCTAGGGTAGCATTGGGCTAGTTATTTAAACCTAATTGAAATTATGGGACAGGAACTCATCAAAACTGTACAACCCCTCCGCAGCCAAGAGTCTTTTCACCGTATTTCTAAACACCCTGTAATCTACAATTCGTCGAATCTGGACAGGCAACTTATTGAACAGCCTTTTACTATTATTAAGAATCGAGTTCTTGGTTAAAGTTGAAGAGGGAATGGGCAGATCAATGGTAAACGAGCTTCGAGTATTTACAGCGGATACAGAGTGTACCAGATTAAGGTACTTCCTATGCATTAAGCACACAGACTCCAATATGAAAATGCTATAAGCCGTCAGTATTTTTTCAGCTTTAAATGTAGGCTTGCACGAGTCTCGGAGTCGCAAACCGAAAACACATCTAATAGCGCGCTTCTGTAACACAAATACTGACTGGAAGAGGTTATGAGAGCAAGAGCCCCAGAAACAAATGCCATATCTTAGATGGGACTCTATAAGAGAAAAATAAACATTCTTTGCGATATCGGTATTTAATTCATTTTTTACGGCCCTGATAGCGAAGCAGCCGGAAGACAGTCTAGAGCACAAATTGGAGATATGAGTCCCAAACTTCAGCCTACTGTCAATGTACAAGCCCAAAAATCGGTTTTCGCTCAAGTTGCTGATAGGCTGACCGTCAATTGAAATGGAATTATTGAAATTACCCTTAAAGTGAATTATGTTCGTTTTGGAAACATTAAATGAAAGCAGATTAGCATCACACCATTTTTTGATATTTGATAGGTCAGTGTTCACCATGTCATTGAGCAGAGCAACACTACCATGATGCCACAGGATGAATGACTCAATCAATTCAAATTATTCTATAAAAATAACATTACTTTCTCCAGAATCGAATGAACTTTTCCCAAATTTGAATTTACTTTTTCCAAATTTAAATTTACTTTTTCTAAATTTAAATTTACTTTTTCTGAAATTAATTTGACTTTTGTTACATTTTCCTAAATAAAAGTTACTTTTTCCGAAATTGAGGTTGAAATGGTGTAGAGAAGTATTTTATTTTATTTTTTTGTCAATAAACTATTGCTTCTGCAATTTTTTTTTAAAAAATTGGTCAGTCAAATACATATTCTAAATTCAGTCAAATTGAGTGTCAATTGACAACTTTTAATTGGTCAATTGACCGAGATGCCATCCCTATGCACATCCTTCCGTGTTTCGCATTCATGGCAAAAACGAACGACACTTTAGTTTGAACTTAATTTAAAAATTCCCCTCACATCACATGAAAGTGTAGTGAGCATGAGCAAGTGTGTCATGCAGATTTATTGACTTACCTCAACAGTATCAGGTAGATTTATTGCTTCACTTTGCAACTGCTGTGAATGTATTGTATATTTTCCCACCAGCTTTTCATTTTCATTTTGTAATCTGAAAATAAAAAATAAATTAAATTTTCATTTTGTATCTTTTCTATTATATGATCTAAAAACACTTATCAGCAACTTGATACTGAACTAAAAATAAAAAATAAGTTAATAAATTGAGATTATTTTTGAAGAGATAGTAAGCCAACTTGATCACTTACTTTTCCAATTCTCGATAAATCATCTCTCTCTCGTTAGTCAAACTCCCCAATTCTTTCTTCATTTCAAGTGATGTCTGATTCAAAAACTGCCTGAGTTCCCTTAAATCTTGTTCCGTACAATCTGTGGTCCTCGTCAATATGGCCACCTGTTGTTTGTGCTCTTCCCGTTTTTCATTCCATTTCTCCTCCATCTCTTTCCTGAATCCGATTTCTTTAAGTAGCTCCTCCTTGTGTCTGTCAGCTGCCTTTTCAGCCGACTGCAGTTTAGCATTAAGATCTGCAACAGTTTGTTGTTCCTTGACTAGCTGTGCCTCATAATTACTGCACATATCGCATGTTAGATTTTCGTTCTTTGCAATTTCGAATGACGTATTTGTAGCTGTGGTATTTTGCAGATTTACCTTTTCTGGGGTTTGATTGACAGACCGATTTGGCTAAAAGAAAAAAATCCTGAAGTACAGATTATGAAATGCGAATTTCTACGCTCACGTCTGCTTATGAAGAACCTCAATAATTCAGTTTTTCAATGATTAGTTTCCATTCTGAAATAATTTACATTTTATTTCGCAAATGGCTTGCATTTCGTAACAACACATAAAAGTATTACCAAAAAAATTAAAATTGCATTGAGTATATGTTGAAATGATATTTTAGTAATTAATTTTATGATAATAAAACAAGAGTTGATAAGGCTTTTTCAATTAGGCTAAAAAATTGCTTACTTCATTTACAAGATGCCGACACTCCATACATTTTTGCAGTTGCTCATCTGTCGATCGCAATTTTTCTTTAAGGGCCTTTATTTGATCCTCTAGTGGATCCACTAGAGACCTTAATAGCTCCACATCTTCTTGGGACTAAATAAACAGAAGGGTATTACAAAAAGTTTTATGAAAGACAATTTTAGCTTACTTTTTCGGATTTGTCATCTTGCGAACCTCCAAAAGCATCAAGTTTCTTAGCTAAACCTTTTGTTAACGCATTGATGACAACACTAGGAGCTAAGCTATGTTCCTGAAAGTTTAAGATAAGTGTGGATTTTTGCTTTTTAACATTCAAAATAAGATCATCCACTGCTTTCAACATTTTAGACACTACTACTGACTAGTAAATAAAATTTTGGTACCCTCATGGGTACGTAGTTTCATGCAAATGAGACTGATAAAAAATTGGGTTATTTGACAAAAAAAACCGTACAGAATTTTAAACAGAGATTGCCCAATTACCTGGCTAGTAGCTTGTTCTTGAAATTGACTATTTTGCAATTTCAAATGCTCATTTTCCCTTTGCAAATATTGAATATATGATTGTAATTTATGAAGATCTTGATCGTATAAGCTTCTTGATGAGCTGGATTCTTCTACTGTTTCTGTAATAATAATCGAATTTGTGAACAATTATTATTTGTTTATAATTTAATACTAACCGTGAATTAATCTTTGTAATGATGCTATTTCTTCCTCAGCCTTTCGTTTTTCATCTTCAAAGTCAGACTCTCTCATACTATCAACGACCAATTGGCTTTTGACATCGTCAAGTTCATTTCTAAGCTTTATTACTTGTTCCAATAATAGGGCGTTTTCTTCAGTTTTCCTTGATAATTCAGCTAGAGTAAAATTGATAGATTGAACTACAATAAATATCTAAATAGATGAAAAACGTAATAAATACAAAAAGAGAGATGATATCCAAATTCGAATTGACTTCAACAAATTTTCAAATACATTTGTGTGGTACTTCGAGGAAGGAAATTGCGCTACAAAATATCAAAGTCAAATAAGAAGTCAAAAGAGACATGCAGATCATACTTTTAATATTTTTTTAAAATTTTAAAAACGAGGAAAAGGCCCATAGATTTGGAAATTGTTTTGATGAAGTTGCGTGTAAAAATTTAGAAAAATATTCTAACGGCTACATCTCACCCTCATCCAAACTCTTGGTAAACTCCTATATTCTTGGGATCAGCAACAGAAGAACGAGTAGATATCACACGAAAAATAAAGAATAAACAATGGACACATTATTTTTTTTTTTAATACAATCATTTAGATTAGTAAGTAGTATTCCTGGAGAAATAATCAAAGGTGCGGTGAGAAAAAGTATTAATTAATCAACTAACACAGCAGTGATAACCTGGCAGGAGAAAAGTTGCCACTGTTACTCCCTTAGGTTGTTCCCGTCCCTAAAAGAGAAGATGTACCAAACATTGAAAAACTATGGACCAATTTTGCTTCTTAGTATTTTCTCAAAAATCTTCCAAAGAATATTGTTCAAACAACTGTCAGCATTCATTAACAACTTCAATATCCTCATTACCCTATGAATTCCAAACAGACAAATCTACAGCTTCAGTCCAGCTAATTGATTTCAAACACAAAGAGGTGGAATGAAATCATAAAGAGGTATAATCTCTCTGGAGTATTCCATGTCACTTTCATCAAAGGAAAGCTTATTCACATTGGCACGAGGGGCATTTCTGGAAAAGAGAAAATTGATGGTAGGGGTTGGGGACCATATACTTCAGAGGAGTAGTGCCTGTGTATGGCAGTTCAACAGGGATCTGATATTAGGTAGGCAAGTATTTCTGACATACATTCCAGAGTAACATAATACACTGGGAAGGCCTATAGGTTGGCGTCGAGAATATTCGCTGATAAAAAATGGAAACGTTCTCCTGAATGAGAATATTCCCGGAAACTTTCAATCAAAAACTCTCAAAAAAATATTTCCGAGAACTTTCGAGAATATTTCCAAGAACTTTCTAGAAGAATTTCATAAAAATGCGAGATTATTGCGAATACAAGGTCTCAGTGACGTCATTTCAATTTATGTGGATGACGTAGCCCAGTACAACTGTCTTTACGGAAACGCTGATCCGATTTACCTGATCACCAGCTGATGTACCCACCTACAGTTTTTTTTTAAATATTCTTCATTGAAGAAAGATAAAAAATAAAGAGCTGAGAGATTGGGTTAATCGGATCAGCTTTTCCTTTATCAAAAATCAAAATCAAAATCAAAACATGCTTTATTGTCCAAAATATACACTATTCATTGTCAAAGCTACCCTAAAATATTTAAAAATTAAGAATTACAATAATAAAACTAACACAACACAGTAATACAATAATAAAAGAAGACTCAAGTATGTACATAAATCAACAATATATAAATATACATACACACATACATACATACATCTAGCACTAACTGTAACAAAAATAAAAATTAAAAATTATCAAAAATTAAAAATAAATAAAACCTGCATAAGGTATGTTAAAACATCAAGAATATCAACTTATAACTAATTAGTTCACAACCGATCCTCAAAGTACTCAGTGACAGTATAATAAGCCTTCCGCACAAGTAAACGCTTAGTCTCCGCCTTAAATTTAGGAGCATTCTGGATACGTCTTATATCAACAGGAAGATGATTAAACATTTTCTTGGCATTGTAAATAAATGATTTTCTTATTTGGCTTGTTCTTGGAATTGGCAGAGGGATGTTGTTGTTGATAAGTTTGTCGAGTATCATAGGGACCTTCAACAATAGTATGCTTGTACTTCCTAAAGACCAGGTATACACTCTCTGCAATATACAGACATGGAAGAGTCATTATACCCTTTTCCACAAAAGATGGCCTACAAGAATCTCTTCCTCTAATTCCAAACATAAAACGCATGGCTCTCTTCTGCAAAACAAACACCGAGTTAAACAAATAGTCACTGCAACTACCCCAAAAAGGAATCCCATACCTTAGGCGAGACTCAATGAGAGCAAAATAAACCATCCTGCTAGCAGAGAAGTCTAGTTCCCTTGCCACAGATCTCAATGCATAACAGCCAGAGGACAATTTTGAAGCAAGTTTCTCAATGTGCGCTGCAAAAGTCAGTGCCCTATCAACATGAACACCCAGAAATCTAACATTTTCCAGATTGTTAATAGTCAATGACCCCAACTGGATGTCATTTAAGGTACATCTAAATGTCAAAAGGTTGGTTTTTTTAATATTAAAGGTTAACAAATTACTCTCAAACCAGTCTTTAATCTTTATTGAATCTGTACCAATTAGCTGATATAGAGATTCTGAGTCAGTCCCTTGCCAAAGAATGGTGGTGTCGTCGGCAAAGAGTGTAAATTTGCCACTAATATCCAGGGTAGGTAAGTCATTGACATACAAAAGAAACAAAATCGGGCCAAGAACCTACCCCTGAGGCACTCCACACACCAAATTACCGAGATCAGACCTCTGCCCAGCAAAACAAACCATCTGAGACCTTTCCGCTAAATAGGACTCAAACCAACCCAGACACACACCCCTGACACCATACAACTCAAGTTTCTGCAGCAGTATCCTGTGACAGACACAATCAAATGCTTTGGTCAGGTCACAGAAAACTGCCCCAGCGAACGCTCCGTCATTCAAACCAACATACAAGCGCTCCAGGAATGCAAAAATGGCATCACTTGTGCACTTCTCGCTCCGAAAACAAAATTGATTGACATTAAGTATATTATACCTCAACAGAAAGGACATGATTTTGCCTTTGACCAGTTTTCAATTATTTTGGATAAGGTAGGCAAAAGAGAAATAGGTCTAAAATTAGGAGTGTCATCATCCCCACCCTTATGCAATGGAATTATAACTGCTTTCTTCAAAAAACTTGGAAAGTATCCATTCACAAAGGAATGATAAATTGCGTCAGCCACGGACAAAAGAGCAGTTTGAGACAACTCACTAAAAATCCTAACTGACATGTCATCCCATCCTGATGCATTCTTGTTTTTCACATAAGAAAAAACTAATTTTAATTCTTGCACATCAGTTGGGTGCATGAAAAACGTTTCCGTGACGCACCCTGCAGAAACATATCTCAATGGATCGGCAGATGAATTTATCTAAGCCGAAAGATTATTACCAACAGAACAGTAAAAATCATTCAGCTCATTGGGAGAAAGAGCAGCATTGAAACGTACATTATCACTAGTATCTTGTCTTAACTCGTTAACAATGGTCCATGTCTCTTTAGAAACATTTTTCGAGTCAACCAGCCTCTGACTGTAATAAGTTCTCTTTGCCAACTGTACCACCCTTCTATAAATAGTTCGGTATCTATTAAAATAAGATGAGAAAAAGCCTTATTCAACCGTCCATAAAAGTGCTTTTACTACATAGTTTAATTTTTAGCTAATATTACAGAAAAAATGGTGTTTATCTTGGTTTATAGTCTATAGTCAGTACACTGCAATAATAAATAAATAAAGCTTACTACGATTTGTCTGATTTAGCTATAAATTTAAAAAAAAAAACAATATTCCCATAAGTTCCCGAAAGTTTCCAATATTCCCGAGAATGTTCGCGGTTTTTGAATGTTTCGGGAATTTTACATCACTAGGCGGGGCTAAGAGAAAACTGAAAAAAATTGATTCCAGGCCATCGCGGTTTTTACAAAGCAACTGATTACACTAAATATGTAGTACGATACGTCGAGTACATCACTACGTAGTAGTTAAAAATCACTTGTATACTACCTCATTATGCATTAGTTAGGAATACGAATATGACAAATTTTTGAACTTAGTTTTTGTTTTTGATTTTAATGACTTGACATATAGTCATATTCACGAGAGAGTTTGAATTTTGACCGTTATTTTCACCAGTTGAAAATAAATAAAATCCCCAGATCTGTCCCTTTTTCTGACAACTATCAAAAAATGATACATGACATTTTGATTTGACACATAAAAATAACAGATTCGGGTCTTTGAATTTTGAATTTCGAATTTTTGTGTGAAATCTTTCAGTTTTTTGCTGTTTTCTGCATTATTTTTTTATTTGTTATTATCGTAATCGGTTTTTTATGTAGTGTTCTGTGCCTTTGTGTTTCGGTGTTGCGTTTCAAACCTGGTTTTAGTATGGATTTAAGTATTTACTCTTATTATAAGTGTTTACTTTGAACTCCAATTTTAGGATTTTTGGATTTTAATAACTTAACTTCCTTTAAAGAAATTGAAAATAAATTTTTATTCTGAAATGTATATCACTTTTCTAAATACGACCCTGTCGTTTATCCCAGCTGACGGAATCGAAGCGCTAACGCATGCTGACAACCTAAAGAAAAAGTTTACTAAAAATGTCAACGCGAACTGTCAACTTCACTTTCTATCGTGATTTAGTCTATAGTTTGGCCTTTGCAAAAAAGTCATTTTTGGATTTATCATATATCATATATGTTAAGTCCAAAGGGATGCACTAGAAATATTTGCAGTGGACTTAACATTGAGATGGATCGGGAGGGAAAATATTACTACTTGTTCATTACATAAGTTAGTGCTTAATTATTGGAAAATGTAACTCAACTTTTTGGCTGAAATTGGTTTAGAGGCCCCTCCCCACCCTAATCGGTGGAATCAATAAAGGAGTGTAGTCATTTGGCATATTTTTCATGTTAAATTCGACATCTAAAAAATCTCTACTAAAATCGGTTTTGTGTAGCAGAGAATTCCAGGGCTAGTTCTCCTAACTTGCGAGTTTACCTCTAGGGATATCAGAAAATCTTTGCCGCGCTATCTATTGTCCGTCGTTTTTAATCTGACACTTTCCGTATGAAGAGCGAGGGGAGGGGGTGAAGTATATGGCAAAAACAGGTGTGACGTCAGGTAACCATTGGCGTTCTAATGTAGGGTGCCACCAGCTCACATTCCTGTCGAGTATTAGCAATCAAAATCGACGGACTTTACATCAAGCATTTTTATTTTTATGTTTTGACAAAAATAAAATACCAGGTGCCCACGAGATCACTTTCCGGCTGCCATTTTTTTATTTGTCTATCGATATCAACGAAACTTGGTAGGGATGATATTCTAACCAAACGCCATTTTTATGCATTAATGATAAGTTTTCCTGACTTCCGGTTTCACCGGAAATGACCGGAACTTTTGATTTTTAAATGGCACACCCTGTATATTTTTTGTGTTTCAGATTCTACAGATCGTTTTACGTCATAATGCACCACTTTTGAATCGAGTTTTGTACAAATTTTGTTTTTAAATTGAATTATAATTTCATAACTAGAGTGCCATGATCATCCTAAAATGACTCTTTATACTCTACTTTATTTCAGAAAAATACAAACTCAATTTTATCTTTGTAAACTTTTTTGATAGAGGGCTGTAAACTTCATTATTTTATTATTTTTGCCCCAGCTCAAAAACTAGAATAGAAACATATCACTTTCATGACATTAATAAATGCAGTATTTTGAAGCAAATCCAACGATATAATACAGTACGACATTTTTCTTAATTTTCGTTTAAATATTTTCCTTTTATTATGTAGGTAATTTTTTTTTTCCACTTAAAATTTAATTTGAAAACGAAATTTGGACAAAACTCGATTTAAAAGTGGTACATCGGGACGTAAAACGATCTGTAGAATCCAAAAAACAAAAAATATACAGGGTGTGCAATTTAAAAATCAAAAATTCCGGTCATTTTCGGTGAAACCGGAAGTCAGGAAAACTCATCGTGGATGCACAAAAATGGCGTTCAGTTAGAATATCAAGCATACCAAGTTTCGTTGATATCGATGAACAAATAAAAAAATGGCAGCCGGAAAGTAATCTCGTGGGCACCCGGTATATCAAGTCACCATTATTATTTGATTTGATTGATTGATGGCCGTTTGCACTGACCATTTTAAGGAAGCCTTAGCGATAAGTATTCCTTAAAATGTCATTTTTACATGGAGAAATGTCACTTTAAGGAATCCTTAATGCTAAGGCTTTCTTAAAATGGTCGATGCAAACGGCCATAAGTGGTAAACTCTGTTAAGTCCATTGCAACAATACAATAAAAAAATAATAATAATGAGTGTATGCTTTATTAACTAACTCAAACTTGTTAGAAGGCCACGGAAAACGTCTTGTATAGGTAAATAATAGAAATAGAGTACCGGACAAAAAACTCGCAAGATATGTTGACTGAACATTTCAAACTGAACGCAAATCCATAGGCAAATGATGTTAACGGTACTTAACATTGTTTTACTCCAGGGGAGCTATGGACTTAACGTAGTTCAAAATGAGCTATTTTTGTTATTTTACAAGATACACCAAAATGGAAAATACCAAACGATGCGCGGCAACATTTTAAGTCACTTAACATATTTAGCTAAAATTTGGCCAATTTGGACTTAACATAATCTGGTTCTGGGGTACAGACATGAACTATGTTGAGACGCGTTGGCTTTGGTGTGTACGGCGGTGCGGACAATGTTCTCAAATCCTTTTCAATGCTTTCCAATTTCAACGCCAACGACAGCACATGTGCCGTTGGCGTTGGTCTATGTTGGAAATTCGATCTGTACGCGGCTTTATATCGCTGATGTATATATTTTTTTGACATGTTATTGATAATGTATAGCAGTAGTGCTTTTTGTCTTCAAGAGCTTTTTTACGAAGTTAGACCCAAACACAGCTATGTAAGACGTAGTGATAGAAACATACTCCAATAGACAAACAATGGATTTTCTACTCAGGAAAAATTGGAAATCACTAAAAATAATTCTAGTCTGGGATGAGATTTTATCAATATTTCTTCTGTGTGCAAATATTGAAGGAGCTACTAGTCGACTTGTTTCATATTGTCAGCTGCTCGGGCAGTGGTTACAGCAATTTACACAAAAGGTAAGAAACAACAGGCTGAAAAATACAAAAAAACTTGCAGAATTTTTCCTAGAGACCCAAACTATAACTGGACAACGATATGGTTTTCTGCCAAAGAGATAAAAATTAAAAAATATCTTAACTGGAATTAACGAGTGGACCGTAGCAAATGACAACCAACAACCACAACAAGCATTTGATAAGAAACCAAAAAACAGTTTCTCACATTTAAGATGGACCAATTCACTGGAGGAAGCGTTCCATTGTTTCCATCAGCGAAATGTATTATCAAGATTGGCTTGTATAGCAGTGTATCAGATTCAGAAGACACACCATCGACCACAACATAGCCGTTTTCTCGCGTCCTCTTTTTTGACATTGGTTCCAAACAGATCTGAAACACCATTGCCCGTTTCAAACATGTTTTGAAAAAAGTGGATGTGAGAAAACGGCTCATGCCTTCCAAAAAGCTCCCCATCCAATGGCAAAATTCATTCGGAAACCATACGACTGAAGTTTGCTGAGGAGACGGATGGACCAGATGAATGGAAAGAGGCCTCATATGTAAGAGAGTGAAAACAGTTTGCAAAGAACTGAAGCCAATACGCGCATTATATAAGGACAGTGTGTGTATTATTTGTTCAACAAATCTTATCAAATTTATTATATCGGCTTTTCTTGGAGACTTGTTCTGTTCAGTTTAAACTGAGGTTTTTTAAATAGTTTATAAATAAAACGTTAAATCAGCAAAAAATTTCTCATAATGGTTCAGGGCTTCAACGATTACCGAACCTGGAAAGTGAGTTTGTAGTAGTACCTCTAGACTTTCTATATGGTCGGTACAGTGTTCTCCGTTTGGCTTTTTAAGCAGAACAATTCCGTTTGAGTGGTTTTTCGAAAGAACTTTTCACCCATTTTAGTTTAGAAATTATTATTTTACTTACTGCCAAAATGTTTATATTTATTACTGACTATCTACTGTATATTTCCTTATTGTTAGATTTTTTTTTAAAGTGTTTGAGTGTTGTCAATTTGACTTGTATTTTACATTTCTCTGTACCTACTGTAAACTTGTTGCTTACTTTATTATGTAAAGCCAAACTCAATTTAATAATTTTTATTGTATGATAAAAATTAGATTTAAATTTTTTTTCCATATAGCTTTTGCAAGCTTTTTTTTGTATACTATGTTGTACATTTTGGAAATAAAAATTCTATTCTATTCTATTCCATAATGTCCCCTAGACCATTTTGATGTGTATAGAATAAAATAATCGTTATTTTCTGAACAAGTTTTAAAAGTAGGTACTTAATATGGATTAGTACTTTATAAAACACTCAGTTCCTGAATTAACTTTACACAAATTAATGGAGATGGCTCATTTATCATTGAAACAAAATAAACTGAAGCGCAGCTTAACAAAATAGATAAGTTTGTTTACCTTCTTTTTGTAAAAACAGCTCTTTCATTTTTGCTCTCTGGCTGTTAAATTCCTCAGTCATCTTTTTGGTAGTTACTTCCAGGCTTCCCAGTCTTTCTGGAGCATCTGGAAACGTTCTGATTAATCAGTAAATAATCATTTACCTAATCTTAGATGGATATTTTTATCCAAAAACTAATAGAAAGTTAGAGGAAACTACCTTACCTTTGCCATTTTGCTTTAATTCTTCTGCACTGTCCATTATGATTTAATTTATTGTGCTTAGTTGATTATTAATAAATTTCACGTTGGAATAGATTCGCTTAAGGTTTTAAACATATTTTTAATTATTGGAAATTTTTAATAAATATTTTTTTTGTCATTTTTGTAACCTGCAAAAATCAGTAATCACGTCATATGTCAACCATCACTCAGTCACTGTCAACTGTCCTCTCAAATAGGTCTGGGCTGCGTTCAAAAACGGCTAAAGCCAAGCCAAAATTGACATAATGCGTTCAAGTTCGGCTCCGTGCCAAAAACGGTTGGCTTTACACGTTCAGAATCGGCCGCGGTAAAGTAACTTTTGGAGGTGCTTTTAACTGAGACTAGAAATGGTTATACGAATTTTGATTGGATGAGACCAAATTCAATATGGCGTGGCGGCCAGCAAGTTAGTTTTGAATATGTGTTTTCATGCATATTTCAATTATTTTGCTTTGAGTTTTGCACTTTGAATAATCAATAATATATATGTAGGTACGTAAACTATTGAGTTGGGCAGAAACTAGATATTTTTTGTGTTTTTTCTTCCATGTGTGGACGCCACACCATCTTGAATGTCACGTGGTTTGGATTGCCTAATAGACCTATCTATTTTTACCTGTATGCGCGCGCAACACGAGGCAATGCATTTATATTGGCTAACTAATACAGGTGAGAGGTGTTCGTTTTGCACGCTAGGCATTTCCTTCTCTTTGTTCATTGCCCGTGGTCTGACAAGGATCAGAATTATGGTTGATAAATAACTTGACGTAGCTTGACAAGTGATCGATTTTCAATTGTTTGTGTTTTTGATCGACAAATAGGTTGCACGTCACGCGGTTTTCCTCCTTCCCTTTCTATCCCGTGCAAATAATAAGAAGGGATTGCTATACATAAGTCTAACATGGTTTGGTACGTTTTGCCTCGTCTTGCGCAATAGGCGTTCTGCGTCTTTTTCTATGGGCACTTTCCAAAATTCACCGGTTTCTGAACCGGTGCGATACCGGTTTCATAGTTTACTCACCAAACCGTTCCAAAATGTACCGACTTTTCACCGGTTGAACCCAATCGTCCGTACCAAAATTGACCGGAATGATCAGCTGTTTGAAACCGGTGAGGCACCGAATCCACCGGGAATTTTTGTCGGTTTTCGGTTGGAAATTTTTTGACACTTTTGTTTTGACGTACATTAATTGCTTTGAATGGGCACTATGGGCAGTCGCTCATCAAATTTTTGCTAGCAGATTGCAGAATCAAAAAATGTTTGTGTGTGTTCTTGAACAATTTTATCTTTATTCATATGAACTCTAAAATCCAAACACTCGACTCGAATAATCTTCAAAAATACTGAAAACCACCATTTGCTTACTGTTAAAAATAATAAAAATATATAGATACCAACGATACCAACCTTACTGCACCCTGCACCCCACACCAAACCACCATACAATTAAACAACATTTGTATTGAATTCGCCTCTATCGGTGGAAATTCATAATCTTAGAAGAGATTTTTTACTATATTTATTTACTTATATTTCCACTAATTAATTTAATAAAATTAACATGTTTCGCTACACACACTACACACTGTAGCTTCATCAGAAAAAATGATGGTAATTATTTTATGTTAGACATAAAACTGAAATTATCCAATTAAACAACAAACAACACAACCAAACTTCGCACCAAAACGTTCCAAAATGCATCAGAAAAATCATGTAACCGGACACACCTCGCTTTTACCGGAATTTTTTGACAGATACCGGTTTATTTAACCGGTCAATTTATCGGTGAAATGTGGAAAGTGCCCTATGTAATAAAGTTTTCGTATTATTACCTCTTTGTCTGGTAAAATAGATAGGTCTATTGAGAAACGGTATTTGGCGTTCCAGTAAATTCACACCCAATTTCACACCAGATTTGGCATTGCCGGTAGAAGGAGAAAAGTAGGTTTTGGCATTAGCATTGCCGTCTTTGAACGCACTCCTGATTCTGCAGTAATTTGGCTAAAGCCAAGCCAAAATTGGCATATTGCGTTCAAGTTCGGCTCCAGCGTGCCAAAAACGGTTGGCTTTACACGTTCAGAATCGGCCGCGGTAAAGTAACTTTTGGAGGTGCTTTTAACTGAGTCTAGAAATGGTTATACGAATTTTGATTGGATAAGACCAAATTCAATATGGCGTGGCGGCCAAGTTAGTTTTGAATATGTGTTTTCATGCATATTTCAATTATTTTGCTTCGAGTTTTGCTTGCAGCTTCGATTTTGATTATTCAATAAAATATTTGTAGGTACGTAAACTATTGAGTTGGGCAGAAACCCGATATTTTTTTGTGTTTTTTTGTCCATGTGTGGACGCCACGCCATCTTGAATGTCACGTGGTTTGGATTGTCTAATTGAGAAACGATATTTGGCGTTCCAGCAAATTCACATCAGATTTGGTACCTATTGCCGGTAGGAGGGGAAAAGTAGGTTTTGGCATTAGCATTGCCGTCTTTGAACGCACTGATGAAAAAAAAAGCGCCTATCCTGTAATGATCCAGAAATTTGACCCAATAATTACAAAGTCAATTACTGTAAAAATCAAATAATTAATCAAACAATCAAAAACTGAATTTCCGTATCTATAAATCTGTATTCGATAAATTAAAAAATAAAACAAATTATCGCAAAAAGTATTGCAACACCGGCCAAGTCAATCTAAATTAAATTCTTAAAAACTGATAAAAACGAGGTGATGTCATCCTAAAATCCGATCAATGAACTTTTTTAGCCAAGGCCTTTCCGCTTAACAAAAATTGAGTCGAATGAATTATGGCATTCTTGAACCCAAACGTGTTGACCTCAATAAATCAGATTATTGCGACATAATTAATTGATTTTAGACTAAAAATAAAATAAAATTCGAGGAAATTGCATCATTCTTTTTAATAATAATGAGGTCGTCCAATGGAATTCGGATTGCTAAGCTAACGACCGCCTATATTGACGATTTGGGGGGATAATTAATAATATTTTGCGGGGAGAGCGAATTGATATAAAACCCGCGGAAGACAGTGGCCAGGACAGAACAGTTGCCAGAGAACAGTCTAGTCCAGTTTGAAGTAAAGTCTGCCCAGTTTCGCGAAAAGTTACCTTTATGGCGTTTTGCCTCGGGTATGTTTTAACTTAGAAAATTTACGGAAAATCGTGAAAGTAATAACATTTGAAATTCGTTCAATAAATTATGTGCGTGCTAGCTAAATATTTTGAGTAATTAATTAAGTAATTTTATTTGCAATCATATATGTAATCTTGTCATTACTGACTTTTTAAAAATTTGGAAGTGACACTTTACCTGTGTCACTTCCCTCTTCGATTTCCCTCACCGATGTCCCTATTCGACTTCCCTCACCGATTTCCCTCACTCTAATTTATTTACCTTTGCTGGCAACAATGAGAACATGTCAGGTAAAAACGTCAAAGCAGTGAATGACACATTTTGGCATGTTTGTTTTATTTTTTTAATATTAAAAAAATTGATTGACTAATCATAATTAATGGTGTGCTTGCAAATAAAATAGTATACAAACCTCGGAGGAAAGTTTTCATTTCTGTCTCGAGATTAATAGTCAATCTCGACGCTTCGCGTCTCGATTGACTATATAAATCTCTCGACAGTAGTGAAACACTTTCCTACTCGGTATGTAATATACTATTACGTGTGTTTTATGGACAAAATGTAAGTACTCTATGGTGACAAGATTTATTTTTGATGAACATGACTTTGTGTGAATTTTACTAGAAAACTTTTGATTTTAATCATGGTGGAACTTTATTTCAATAAACTTAATAACTTGAGTGTTTTATAAAGGAAACATTATCGCATAACTTAATTACCTTCTGATATAATGACATTTAAATGTGCAACAAAAATATGAAGAGTACTTATAATGCATTTAACAATTTACTATTTTGAGTTGGAATTATGAATTAACCAGTTGTATTTATTAGCTAGGCATAGGAATCCGAAAATAGAATTTGTTCTGATAAACTATTAACTGCAATAGGAAATTTTGAAAAGAAATTTGATGTCATAAAATAGAATTGTTTTCTTGAAATATTGGAAACTTGTTAAAAGGAAACTTATATTAGAATTTGTTCATGAAATAGAATTGTCTTAGAATATGGGAAAGCTGTTTAAAGAATTTATCGTTCATGAAAGGAATTTTGAATTAGGGAGTTTATTTTACAAGTAGAAGTTATTGTAAGATTTATGAGAATAGATTTGTAGATAAACAAATAGGTAATTATTTTGGGTTTTCATAAGTAATGGACTTAGAGATTTTAAGGAATTATTTGACTAGGTAAAGGATAGTTGTTAGGAATGATTCGGATGTAGTAAAATGAGTTGAATTAGAATTTTGAGAAATAGTATGAATAGGGCGTTTCTTATTTAGTAGGGATATTTCAGTGGTCCGTAAAATAACAATATAGAACGGAAGTGAAGTCAGAACTAAAGAAGGATGTTAAAGTATTGGAAGATATTTGGCTGATTGATTTTTGGGTTTTATGTGAAATAAAATATAATTTAGTACACCTCATTAGTTTGTTTCTCTCTCTTGCAAATAGACCCTCTTCCACAGATTTTAGATAGCAAGCTCCAAGTATATAAACACCATCAATATACCGCTCGCCATTTACCATCTAACAATTTATATAAAGTACTTGGGGCCTTTTGCTACAATCCAATAGGCAATTTTTCGCGAGGATAATCAAGCATAATCTTTTGCTGGATTATGTGATGTGTCCATTCTGTCATACTCCCCTACCATGAAATTTTGGGATACTCGAGGATCAGAAACACTTAATTTATTCTGTGAGGACATACCCAAATTCACCTTTTCAACATTTAAAATCCACGAAACACTAGCACAGCCTGAATCGCAAGCATTCTATCAAGGTCTGCGAGTGACGTCATCACTATACAAATTTGATGGTGACGAAGTTAGGGGACTATG